AATAGTAACAGAAGATAGTAAAAGTGGATCACTTCTATTTGTATAATCTAAATAATAATTAAATTGATAGTGAAATTTTCAATTATTTAACAAATAATTGCTTATCATTATATATATTTAAACAAGTACTGTATTTGTAGCGTTTAATTTGTGTAATTTATTGTTCCAAGTCAAAATAATAACTACAGTAGGTATATCAACACCAAAACCACGGTATTTTAAAAATGTATTACTTTTATTTGTACCTATAAATTAAATGATAATTATATTTCAATTGGAATTTGTAATTATTTAACCTATAATTACTTATTTTTTTAATAATTAATTAAAAGTTGCAGTTGTAGCGTTTATTTTGCGTAATTTTTCTTAATAGGGTAATATTTCACTGCCTATTGAATTAATGGGGGTCATTGACTTACAAATTTTATTTAATGAGGAGCCACATGCTTTTTGTAGTACTACGGTAGTAAAGTAGAATAAAATAGTAAAATTTCCATTCATAAAAAAGGCCGGCAACAGCTGACAGCAGTTGATATTGTTTCTGTCAACAATTTAACCTCGAATTTCAATTTTTGGCATTTTTACACTTTAAATTAATTTTTTTTAAAAAAATATTGCAAAATGAGATGTTAAATGAGTACATTATGAAAATATGACTCTTTTTTAATAGTTAAGAGGCTACATGAATACCTAAAAGAGTTTAAAATTAACGAAGAAGTCAAAATTAAAACTAATACAGCCCCAGTTCTTGGAGTATTAAACATTAAAGTCTTGGTTTTACGTATCAAATGGAAGTTTTTAAAGTTGTGCTCCTCTTTTAAGATTATATAATGCATGGCATTAGTTAAATAATTGAATATTAAGCAGTGACAATCGTTACAAACTGTTTAAATTGTATAAACAGGAGTTAATTTTTGTACTAATCAGTACATGTCCTCCTTTGAAATCTTTGCACTCTGTATTCATTACAAAAATTTAGGATCTAGGCAGTTACCTAGCTCACTCTATATGTGTTTAAGCTTAATGAAGAAAAGCATAAGCGATATTTTTTGTTATTGATTAATATGTGTTGTATATAGGAAAATTATATTTCAACCATAATAAAAAGCATTATATGAGGATATTGGTTTACTAATTATGCAACACATTATACACCAGTTGAAATAGCTTAATATAACTTCATAAAATAATTCACAACTCCATAAAGAGCACCTTGTATAAAATGAATAGCATTTCATTTTTTCTTAAGTACATTAAGAAATACAATAAATTATTTAGGTCTAGACTCCATAGTCTTTCCCCTACTGTCTCTTAGTCGTCCTTCGTCAAAGGGTTGCAAAATAACACTAAGAACATCCGCGTGAGCCATATCCACCATATTGAAAAAGACAACAGCATTTGAACACTTTTTTTTGTTTTTTTGTCAATTTACTGACGTCATCGTGACCCGCGGGACCTGGAGGGGTTCGTATAAGTTTAACAATCTTAAACAATTTTACAAGGAAAGTTCAAATGGCGGTTTTTCTCGGTACGAATAGTGTAAATCAAATCAATTATAATTTGTATCTAATATAATTGGAATATTTCATCTCTTCTATAGCCCTAAACAGAAATTAAAAATTTGCCTTGAAGATTAATGAATTTTTATATGAAATAAACTTTTTTAACGTTGTTTCATTAGGAGATGCGTTAGTTTCTCTATTTAATAGTGTGTTGGGGCTGATTTCAGAAATTAAGGAATTAAGCTGTTTCATTGATTTAAATCCTTACGATTATCCTTGTGGTTGTGGTCTACTTTTAATATTTTTTAAATAGAAAAAGGATCCTTTTGTCGTTAAGATGAGTGTACCTAATTTCGAGCGTGATCGTCTGTCATTTATTATCCGAATACTTGCTCTCTTTAACAGTCGTATGCTGAACGATCGACCGAGAGAAGACAGTTCCCTGGATTTGCTATAAAGTGCAAATAAAGTTTTGTTTTGAATATTAATGCGTGGTTATTGTACAAAATTAAACTTTTTTGAACGTGTATTACAAGGAGAATGTATTACGTTTGCTATTTAATTGTATGTGGGGGCTAATTTCCGAAATTAACAAATTAATGTTGAAAACCCTTTCGTTGTTTCAAAGCTATACGATTATCGAAGAAGTAGTAGCCTAATTGGAGTATCTTTATACACAATAAGGCTGCTTTTCTGGATATGAATATTGTAACTCAAATCAACAATAATTTGTATCTTATATTGTCAGAATACTTACACTCTTCAATATCCCTAAACAGAAATTAAAAATTTTTTTGGAAAATTAATGAATTTTTGTATGAAATAAACTTTATTAACTTTATTTTACTAGGAGATGTGTTACTTTCTCTATTTAATAGTACGTGGGGCTGATTTCCGAAATTAACGAATCAAAGTTGAAAGTTGTTCGATCGATCGATCTCTACGATTGTCGTTTTGGTTGTCGTCTACTTTTAATATTTTTTAAATAGAAAAAGGATCCTTTTGGCGTTAAAATTAAAGTACCTAGTTTGGAGCGTGATCGTCTGTCATTTATTATCCGAATACTTGCTCTCTTCAACAGTCGTCTGCCTGAAAGGCCGACCGAGAGAACAAGACATTTCCCTGGTGTTGTTTCAAATTGCAATTAAAAATTTTGTTTGAATATTAATGCTGATCTTTGTATAAATTCTTCTTATATATATATATATAACTTCTTTGAAAATGTATTGCTGGGAGAATATGTTAGTTTCTCTAATTGATAATCTGTGGGGACTGATTTCCAAAATTAACAAATTAAGTTGAAAGCCCTTTCGTTGTTTCAAAGCTAATCGTATAAAAGAAGAATCGAAGAAGTTGTAGCCTATTTGGAGTATTTTTAAATACAATAAAGCTGATTTTCTCGGTATCAATAGTGTAACTCAAATATATTTTTAGAGTACCTGCCATCTTCGATAACCCTAAACAAATTTTTCATTATACACAAAACTATCAAGATCTGATAAAAAAATTGAATAATAGCTAAATTATAACAACACCTATGATATTTGCTACCAGAAGTTGCGATGTCTTAGGTTCAATAATTAATTAAAAGTTGCAGTTGTAGCGTTTATTTTGCGTAATTTTTCTTAATAGGGTAATATTTCACTGCCTATTGAATTAATGGGGGTCATTGACTTACAAATTTTATTTAATGAGGAGCCACATGCTTTTTGTAGTACTACGGTAGTAAAGTTGAGTNAACCAAATTGTCAAAATCTAACAAACAAAATTTTAATAATATGCTAGTTTCAACACCTGTAATTTGTACTATCAGAAATTGCAAAATTGCAGGTTCAAAGTTAGGGTAGTATGGTTACAAAGAATCTGACTTAACACATTTTGTCCTCGAATCATACAAACAAAATTATCAAAATCTGACAGACCAAGTTTGAATAATATGTTAGTTTTAACACCTGTAATTTGTACTATCAGAAATTGCAAAATTTAGGTCTAATATTGGGGTAGAGGGTGTAGTTACGAAAAATCTGACTATTCATTGTGCCTACGTCTCGTGCAAACACAATTAACAAAATCTGATAAACTAAATTTGAATCATATGCAAAAAATCTGACTTAATCCATTTTGTGCACGTCTCATGCAAACAAAATTGTGAAAATTTGGTAGACGAAGTTTGAATAATTTGGGCGTTTTAACAGTTGTAGCTTTTACAATCAGAAATCATTCAAATAGAGGCAGTGGGCGCCATCGAGCGGTTTATTGCTGCCACTAAAACGTTTGGTTTTCATTTTCTGATTGTAGTACTTTAGGTTGAACAGGGTTGTTAAATAGCAGCCTTACAGAAAACTTGACTACTCATTTTGACTCATTTTCACAAACAAATCTGATAAAGAAATTTTGAATAATAGATAATAGGTAGGTTATAACATGTATGATATCTGCTACCAGAAATTGTCTTATATTTAAAAGAAAGAGTAAGTAGCACCCTTACAAATAATTTGACCCAATACGTTTTGGTTTTTTGTGGTATCAGCAGGTTAAAGTGGTGCTTAAAATTTAAAATTAGTACTGCCGATGTCGGCCTTTATATATACATTTTAATTGTTGCTGCTGTCGGCCATTATACATTTTAATTGTTGCTGATGTCGGCCATTACACATTTTAATTGTTGGTGATGTCGGCCATTATGCTTTTTTAATTGTTGTTGGTGTCGGCCATCATTGTATTTAATTGTTAAAATGTATTGTTGTTAGTGTCGGCCCATATTTTTTTATTGTTAGCGTATTATTGCTCTTGTTAGTAATTAGATATCCCTTTTTAATTGTGTTAGTGCTGTTGTCATTTTCGACTAATTGTTTTTTGAATTTGTATTGTTAAATTTAGAAATTACAGGTAAATATGTAAAAGTGTGAAGTGTCGACATCTGCTGCAAGAAATCAGTATGCCGTTCTATTATTGCAGGTTCAAGTAGAAACCTTATTTAATAATGATTTATTTGTAGATTTCTTTAGGAAAAACGATGCTGGAAGAGATTTTAAAACTGCTATTTTAGTTAGTACATTTTTTTTCAAATAAAATTAGAAAAGGAATATTAGATGCCAATTTTCTTCTGCTGAAGCGAATTTTCTTGGTGACTTATAAGTCTATAAAAATAAATGCAAGTTGGTAGGCTTCCCACATTTAACCGCTGAATTTTGAAAATTTTAGTTTAACGGGAAAATGCATGTACGCATTCTACATTTGTAGTTAATTGGAGCGGGTGTTTCATCCATTAGTTGGCATTTTCCTTGTCTACTTTTGTAATTGGTCACGATTTTCCCGCGCAGAGTCTGGATAGCTTGCAGATCCGCTAGCAGGGCATCGACCGCCACCGCTTGCTAGGGAGTGGTGCCCATCGCCACCAATACACAATCAGACTTGTGTATAGTGCGTTGCGACCATTGGTCTACAATTTGTCGACCAATCATTGGGAAAGTGCCGTCGAAAATATCCAATGTAAGTCCACAAATTATCAAACATCTTCTGTTAAGTTGAAGCTGGGGATGGACCGGCAAAATACAACTGAAATTTTTGATTTTTCGGAATTTTCTCTATTTTGATGCTCGTTTCCTCTGACATATTCTGCTTTCTAACAGTAATGGCGATTGCTCTATTAAATTACACAGACAAGAATTATCACAACAGTTCAGCTGCGTATAAAAGTGAAAGTGGTTTCTAGTAGTTATTCCATTTATAAATTACTATTTTTTCAATTACTAGTAAACATAATGTTTTCCAAACGATTTAACCTAGAAATGTTTACACGTTTGATGCACTTGTATGTACGTTCCCTATTACGAAAATTAGCTTGTGAAATCCACATTCCTTTTAAATGGACAATTATTGTAATATCAAACACCTTATTTTGAAATAGATTGCTTTAAATATTGTTTGTTTTTAGTGTAAAAGTAACCGATGTTGCAGGTAGTTCCATAAAGTTTTATTTTCTTGAAAAAGAAAAACAAGTTACCTAACACTATTTTCATTTGTAGCCCAGAGATTGGCGTGTGTAAATATTAATGATTAATGCTTTTAATTTCTGGAAATGGGAAATTCAAAATATTTCTCATAATCTTAACCTATAAAAGTGTAATCAGTCAGTGTGACGATACATAAATATGGTATCTAATTCTTTATATTTTGCTGTAAAAGCTAAGCAATTTCAACCTTTTAAAAATGTGCCTGATATTTCATTTCGACAGTTTACATGTGATACAACAAAATACAAGATATTTCAAAAATGGAGCATATCACCACAGCCGATGGCCAAGTGGTAATGCAAGCTGTGACTCCGCAACAAGTACAAGTGATGCCTATGAATACAACAGGTCAAGTAATACAAGGTGCAAATGGACAACAAATTATGGTTCACACAGTGCCTCAAAATGGCCAAATTCAAGTAACACCAGGTGCACAAGGACTGCAACAGATTCAAGTAGTGCCTGTGTCCAGTTTACAGGCTGGTACTGGACAAGAACCAATTCTTCTTCAGCAACCACAACAAGCTCAAATAGTGCAAACTGCAGATGGTCAAACTTTTATTTATCAACCTGTTGCTATTGATAATGCCACTATTCAGTCACCACAACCAACAGGTATATACATCATGTATATTTTTTCTTTTTTATCTGTAGGTGCATATTGCTGAAATTAGGTGAGCAAAGTATTACAATTTGGCAATACCGTTCGAGTTTAATCTCTCATTATATTGTTTTATTTTAAATTGGATTTGTAAATTATATTTCTAGATAGTATATCATGTCCTATTTGATTCAAAAAGCAGTTATCACTTATCACTGCCAATTGCTTTTATGGTATACTCATGCACCTCTCACACTTTCAGTAATATGTAACTGATTAACAGAGAACCATGATAATTGAATAGTAGATGTCTTTGTTAAGTGTGTATAACTATGGGGGTGATAGCCAATGTTTATCCAGCTGTTGTTATTGTAAATTGAATTATTACAAATATTTATGCTTTTTAGTGCTTAACATCAATGGAAGTTTGGTTCAACTTGCCAGTAGTGCTCAGCCCTCAACAGCGGGGAATTCACAAACAACAGCAGCTTCAGCAGTGGTACCTCAGACTATTGCTGCAGCAGCTGCCCCTAATCAGATAGCTATGTCTAATGGAAACATAGTTATGGTAAAGAGCTGTCCTGATGTATGTCTAGACACTAATCACTATAAATAAGTTTTTGTTTGATTCTTTAAAATTACTAACCAACCAATTTTTATGTAATTTACTTGCTATTGTTGTTTTGAGACATTTTGAATCTAGTTAAAGTAGAAATATTTGTAAAAGTATTTGTAAGTTGAGTTAGAGGAAGTTAAAGTACATTATTTTAATTTTTAGATGGTCCCTGGAGGAGGAGTATCTCAAATCCAAAGGGTCCCAATAACAGGCACGGAATTTTTGGAAGAGGAACCTCTGTATGTTAATGCTAAGCAGTACAGAAGAATACTGAAACGAAGACAAGCAAGAGCCAAGCTTGAAGCAGAAGGGAAAATACCAAAAGAAAGACCGGTAACTGTTTAGCTTTGTTCTTCTGCATGTAACAATAAATTGTTAATAAAGATGATACAAAATGTCATTACTTACCTCTTACAACTTCTTTTGTGTCTTATTTATAATTATAGAGTTATAATAGTTGAAATTTAATAAATAGTTTGTTCAATTTTAGAAATACCTGCATGAATCAAGACATCGACATGCTATGAATCGTATAAGAGGAGAAGGTGGAAGATTTCATTCAGGATCAGTTAAAAAGAAAAAGTAATACTTAAGAAATAAATCAGTTGGTGTAACCGAAAATTAATGAACATTTTCTTTCTCGTGATTTCAGAATGGAAGAGGAAGAGAGACAAAGACAAAATCAGCAGCAACATCATCAACAAAGTTATCAACAAAGAAGCATTGGAATGACATTCAACAGTTCGTTGGACAGTTCTGTAATTATTGAGGTAAATCGTCAATTTTAACTTATGTGGAAATAAATAATTTGCTTGGGTAAAAAGTGCATTTATCTACAGAGATGTGCTTCAGACATACACCATACCTTTTACAAATTTCCAATTTTAAACTGTCTCTAACTTCTTGTTGCTTTTGTTAATATTGCTATAACATCTGCAAATCTAACTATGCTAATTATTTGCGCTTGTATATCTATCTCGAAATCTGTCATATCTTTAATAGTATTATTTGCACTTGGTATGTATACAAATTTTCGATATTTTTTCAATAATCATTAAAACTGTTAAATTATTTTTTTGTTGTAGCCTATAGCAGTGCCAGTGGAGATAAATGGCGACGCTCTCCCTATAGGTGATGGACAATAGTGATTTTAGGTTTTTAGAACTTTAATGTACATAATTAAAATTAGATTAATGTAAATAATTATTCTCTTTTCTCTGTACTTCTTTCCTATTTTTTTTTTAATTTTCTATGTAAAGATTATAGAGAAATAAGAATAGAGCGCGTGAGGTCTGTCAGTGTGATGTCATAAGGTACACACTGTACAGTACCCATGCGCAGTAGAGAGCATCTCGACAGCGATTTCTCACTTATTTTTATTTCTGTATGATAGAATATAGAATCTGTGTTATTTATTTGTTATTTTTGGTGTTAAAAATGCCTACTATTCAGAATGCTAGATCTATAGCAAGGACTCAGTAAATAGATATAATGACGATGCGATTGTGTAAATAAACCGATTTTGTTGTATGTTTTTTTTTTAATAAACATTGTTATATTTTTATAAGGTAAACTAGAAGTGAATTTGGATAATTTATAAATATGTATCAATTGTAGAAGGTATTTGTAATAAAAGCAGTAAAAAACACGTGATTTTTATTCCCCTAAAACAGTTTATTAAAACTAGGTAAGCATAGCACTTCAGACATGCTGTTTGGGCAAAGCTTTGTTCAAATAATACTCTTAAAGTCAAAACTTTAATTATCAACACAAATATAGACTTAAACTTGTTTACCTTACTGCAATTATTTATGTAAGGTAGAGCCCATCTTTTGCTTAGTAATTGTTTGTAAATGGGTATGCAACACATCCTACACTTCAGCATAAGAAATTACTGATATTAACTACGTAATACTACTTTGCCCTGTGCTGACAGTACTCATAATTTCTTTTATATATATTAAGTTGAATTAAAACAAAGTTATTGTCCATATTTTTAATACACTTATTATTATATTACTTAGATTAATCTATTTATTCGCCTCTTTCCCACTACCTTCCTTTGCCATATCTCTCTTTCATTGCGCCTTGCTTAATTTTTTTTTTCAATCTGCTCAGACACCACCCTGCC